TTTAGGGTTTAGGGTTGGGTTTTTAGATTTTAGATACAAAGGCTTACCGGGCTCTACAGCTTAGGGTCATGCCTCGTAGCTGCGGGCTCTCAGGAGCTCAAAGGTTCTGATGATTCTGTCGTAAGCTGTCTCATGGAGGTTTAGGGTTTTAGGGCTTAGGGGTTTAGGGTTTAGGGTCTAGGGTTTAGGGTTTAGGGTTTATGGAGTAGACGAGAGTCTAGAAAACACAGCTTGCTACGAGAAGATGTACCTGAACCCCACCCCCTGCCCTGCCCGCCCGCCCCCTGGCCAAAAAACACTCTCGAGATCTCTTCGTAATTTTTCCTATAACTGCCCAGACTTACTACAAGTCTATGTATAATGGAGGAATAGACTTTCGCATGGTTAAGGTAGGGGTCAAAGTCGACGTTTCGAGAAATGTGGACAGTTCCCTCCAGCCCTCTCCCCCCTACGGGACCTCAGAGCGGCAAGGGTCCTTTTTCCAACGTTCTTTTAACGGATTTCGGGTTTTGGGTGTTGAAGGGCGCTTGCTGGGGCCGTAGGGTGGAAAGCCTACGTAATTCCTAGGTCTTGAATCCAGGAAACATGCTGGTTGGAGCTTTCTTTTCATCATTACCTAGAGTACAAAACCTGCCCAAACCTCCAAATCTAAAACCAGCCCTCGATCCACGATGCCCTACCCATCCATGCAATAACGACACTAGTCACCAGTGAAACTGTTGATTGTCAATGAATGTATCTTGTGGTGCTGTCAGTCAATAAACCCCAACCCCTAAACCAAAACCATCAGCCTCATTGCATCACACAGCTTCCTCTTCGGTGTATGCTGTTCGCAATCATACGAACCCTTGCCGAAACCCGAAACCCTAAACCCTCAACCCTAAACCCCTAAACCCTAAACCCTAAACCCCTAAACCCTAAACCCTAACCCTATAAACCCTAAACCCTAAACCTGGAAATTATCCCGTAGGCCCCTCAAGCCGAAACCTGTACTGCCGCTGCAAGGAGCTGCATCCTCTAAAGCCGCATAGAGCTCGGTGTCGTTATGCGTCGTATGGCTGCCGACAACCTTTCAGGCGTCACTGCTAGGGTTTAGGCTTTAAGGTCAGGGCTCAAGCTTTAAAGTCAGTAAAGTTTATGGCTTCATGGGGCTTATAAAGTGTCAGAGAATCGAGACAAGCTATTAGAGCCTAAGCGCTTGACTGTAATCTGAAGCTGTTCGAAGCTCCTATGGCGTGATCTCACATGAACGGAGTTCAACGGCCAATCTTGGTTTCGGGCAACAAATCTTGGGCTTTAGGGAATCCAAAGCCGTCGGGCCGTCACGAGTTCCGGGTGGTAATGTAGGGGCCTTAGCCCATTATACTACAGGTATAATAAGGAACCCCCGAAATAGTATAGGTAATAATTAAGGCCCCTATAGTAGCTCCTTGGGGCCTTTGGTATGTCAGATTTGTAGGTCAGGCCGTGCACTGGCTCTAAGTTAAATGGTTGAAGCCGTACTTGATTCCTGGGCATTCGGGCCAAAAATCAAACCGATGATGGAAGTAACTGCGGCTAAAAATAACTCCTTCACCCTCCTGGACTCTTCGCTCACTGTCGCTCTCCCTCGCTTTCTCTCGCTCTCTCTCTGTCCTCTGTCTCTCTGTCTGTCTGTCTCTCTCTCTCACACATTCATCCCAACCACATCGCATCACGGCATACTTATGTAGCTGTGCAACGAGGAACACAGGGGAGGGACAGGGTCGACGTCTCACGACAAGACTGATTTTGGAAGCGTTGGCAGTCCTAGTCGTCTCTCCCTCCCTCTCTCTCTCTTGCTCCGCTCAATGCTCTCTGAGTTATTCTCGTTCGATATGGCTCGAGCTCTCCTCTCTCTCCCTCTCTCTGTCTGTCTCTGGTGTGTCTATTCTCTCCTTTCTCAGAGCCTTCACTAAGCAGTACACACCAACTCAGCTAAGCATCTTCTAGATGAAAATGCAACGGCCCTGCTATGGCCTCGGGGTACATTATACTTTGTGATGGTGTAGGGACCATATGGCAATATGTTTACTAAGTGTTGCCCTGTAGGCTCAGAGGGTTAAGGGTGAGGTACAGGTTGAGCGATGTGCTGTTTAGATTTTGGCTGCTCTGTGGGTTTGCCAGCTTGTCGTCCTGGTCGGAACACGGGATATATGGGAATCGAGTTTCGAAAGCAACTGCCAACACTGAACCCCCTAAAGCCTAAACCCTAAACCTGCCAAAGTCGCCGCAGCTTGCTCCCGCCATGGTATCTCGTAACCGTCGGTGTTCGAATGGTGTAGGGGATGCCAGTAAACCTCCATGCTTAGGGTCTAAGGGTTTGGGTTTCGCCAGTATTTACTCAGGGGATGTTATGGTTTTGCGTTGCTGGCTTTGTGGTAGTACGTGTACATAAGGACTGCAAGATACAGAGAGTTAGTATCACTGAATACTCCGACCTCTATACTGCTGTCACAGCCATCGGATTGAATCACGCTCAAGGTGTATCAGGCCCTCCGTTCTTGTGTTTCCCTCAACCCCAAGCCCTCACCGCAAAGTCCAGCTTAGACTCCAGAGCCTGTCAACAATCACTCTCGTGAACGCTGCTGCCGTGAATCCAGACATACAAGGCGCAGGATTTCGTCGCAACATGTAGCAATGCTAGCCATAACAACCACAAGGCTAACGAGACAAACAGCTTCAGCCGGCATCAAACAGTGTGCAGCATGTGTCAGTGTACACTGATACAGATGTGGAAATCTATCTGTGTGTGTTACTTTGCATGTTGACATGTTAGTAATATGGAGGGCTTCAGTAATTGGAATAAGGTTCGGGTGATATCTTCCGCTATCACTATAGAAAATAACTATAGGAAACAATAAGATACCATAAGGAATGATGTCAGCAACTATTCGGCTCCTTTGTGGTGGGGGGGCATCTACCGGGTGTATGCAGACCGCTGGCTCGACTCTCTGAAACTGGTCCGCCTGAATGCCGTTAGCCACGACGTAAGGATGATTCCCGTAGTCTTGTGCGGCCAGCGAAGTCTGGGCCAAGATGACATGCCTGGGTGCTATTTCAGGTCGTGCAGGAAACTGAAAGCTGCCATGACAGCAGGGACACATGATGTGCATGTATGTATAAACGTATAGGTGTATGAATGTACATATGTAGGTATGTTACATGTGCATATGTAGATCCGTAGACCTGTAGATATGCAAATACATGCATATATATATATATATGTACGTAATGTATATGTATTTGTATTTGTATATGTATATATATATATATACATATGTACAAACGTCCATATGTAAATTATATAGATATATGCATATGTATGGTTGTAGCTGTTTAGATATGTAGAAATGTACTATATGTATATACATACATCTATATATATATATATATATGTATATACATATATGCATATATGCATACATGCATGTATGTATTTATGATTATGTGTAGATATGTCTATATGTACACATGTTTCTACACAGACACGTGCCACACATGGGCATACCTACATACAGATATACATATACATATGTCCACAGGCCCGACGGTAAGATAGCCAGAGTTCACGTGCCTACGTATGCATACATGTATGAATGCCTGCATGTATGCATGTATGCATGTCTAACACCTAAAGTCCAGGCCCTAACAGCCCAGGTACATCCCTTCGGGTATGTAGGCAAACTGGTCCACGGGGTCGTAGACATGCAGCACGCGAGCGACTCCTGCGGGAGACCCTCAACGCTGATGGTGCCACTTATGTAGAGTTTAGAGATTCTTCGGGTTCAGGGAGTGTAGGGTTGAGGGTTTAGGGTGTAGGGGTCTTAACCAATCATGATCCCATGCTACACCCAAATTTTAACCCCAATGCCCTTCAACCCTGCCTGTCCGGTAGCTCAGCAGCTCCATGGCACACTCGCAAGGATACCTCTGTGCTTCCGGTATCCATCGGAGCTGAATCTGGAAGGTTCAGACAGTAGGCGGCTCTAGCAGCGAATCTTGCATTGTCTGCTCCGCACTAATAGAAGGATCTGTAAGAAATCGCCGTTAGGTTCAAAGAACCTAATTGTAGATCAACCTAGGGGCTAGAAGTTTATGGCTGCAGAAAGGTGTCGTTAGGGGCAGGCATAGCCCGCCGCTACTGCACAAATCACACGTAAGGTGCTGTTACCAAGGTTTACAAGAATATCAGCAACAGCAGGCATTCTCAAACACCCACAGCAACATTAAGCATATAGTAGCTGAACACTGGTAAGCCCTGGTATACCTGAACATAGGGAAGCTGGGTGGGATAAAGGTGGTGATGAAGCTTCTTCTTGCCACCACTTCCACGACCACGATCCGACGACGACAACGGCCACGACGACTGCCACTACTACTTCTACGGTGGTGCTTGGACGACGACGACGACGACGACGACTGACTTCTACGAAGACGACGACGACGACAAATGCCACGAGTACTACGGTAGTTTGCACTAGCTAACGTTTGATGACACCCTACTCCGACATCAATATGCGCCTTCTTTCTCAACTCCGTCTTCATCGTCGGCGGGGGGTTTCAGGTTGTTGACGGAATCACTTGTTTCAAACCCTAGTGTAGGGGCCTAAATAATTAGCAATACTATTTCGGGAATTCCTGAATTTAATTGTAGCATAATGGGCCCAAAACCCTAATCGAATTAGCTAGGCCCCTATCTTGAAATCTGAGCCCTGGAACCATCAAATCAATAAGTCATCCGAAGCCAACAACCCAGACCCAACGAGGGCAAAGCAGCTCCTCACTAAAAGCGACCAGCCCCAAGCAGAAAAGTCCCGAAATGCGGGTTCAGGGTGTTAGGGTTTGGGTGCTTAGCTGATGAGTATGGAAAAGTCGGGCTTGGGGGGTTGAGCCTTGGTTTGGGACTTGGTCAATGATGGTACATATGAGAGTTTAGGGTTTATATGCTTCGGCGGCTTAGTTTAGGAAACCCTATAACCCGTAAATTTAGGGCCCGCTTCCCGGCAAAGCACTTCACATGGACGATGGCCACAGGGTCCGACCAGTTCGCGCCGTAAACCCTCCGGTCATCACACCACGTCTTGCAGTTCCTTAGCTTTAACGGGTTTTAAAGGCTACCTGGACCCCAGCAGTTCCTTAGCTTTAATCAACAGGTCTAAACTTAGGGTTTAAAGGCTAGCTGGACCCTGGAAAACCTACGTTTGAGGGTTCCTTATTGTGATTTCTGTTAATAAGTCCTTGAAAAAGTAAGTTACTTGGGCTTGGTTCCTCGTGTTTACAGAGCTTTGGGTCAAGGTTTGGGGTCTGGGGCCTAGCAGCAGTAGTGGTAGTAGTCGTATTTGTACTAGTAGTAGTAGTGGTAGTAGTAAGCGTAGTAGGAGTAGTAGTAGTAGTAGTAGTAGTAGTAGTAGTAATAAAAATGATAATAGAAATAGTAGCAGTAGGCTTGAAAGCACAAAGCTCGGAGCAAAGGCAGCCGGAGGCAGGACTTATAGGATTCACAGGGTTGAGGGTTTAGAGTTATGGCTTCTGTGGGTTGTAATTGGCCGTTACGGGGTTTCGAAAAGAATGTATTTGTGCTTCGCCCTAAACTGCCAGCTGAGAATCTGATTCCATGCCCGAGCGCGAATCACCGGGCCATCCGAGAGCAGTTGGCGTAGACCGCGCGCTGCCTGTTGGGGCTTGGAGTGTAGGGTGGGTGTCCAGAGAGCTATGGTAGCTCTGGAAAGGTCTCAGAAAGAACTATGCAGATACTTGAAAAGGAATCCGGAGAAACAACACATCACTGTGTCCAAAGTTAGTGTCCAGATCACGCGAGTCTGAGCATCTGCCACATGCTGAAGAAAACACTGAGGGAGGGGCAGGATTCTGTGATGCAAACAAGACATTCTACGCGGTAGGATTCCTCAATAGGCTATAACTAACTTTGCTCAAGCCGTTGTGGAAATGCTGGCTCAAACGCATGACCCGCGATTGCGTAGGAGATGGTGGGTGGGAGGGGACCTGATTTGCTTGGATCACCCACCCGCTTACCCGAAGACGACAGACTTGATATCAAGCAACGAGGTTTCGAGTGCTTAGGCCCGAAACAAACAGGCTTGCAGTGCTAAGGCCATAAGCCCGCAAACCCTGAGCCCTCTTCGGCCAAGCCATTCCTTTTCGCACTCCCGGTTTAGGGTTTAGGGTTTAGGGTTTAGGGATTCCGGCTTCAGGACTTCAGAGAGGAGATCTCAGGGCGCGGGGGCTGCGTGGCTCGTACCCAAATTCCTCAAAGCTTTATGTGGCACAACTCCCTACATCCCAAACTCTGAACTGTCCTCTATATACTCCACCTAGAAGTACAGAATCCGCGTAGTAGCTTACTGCCCCGACAAAACGATGGAAAAAACAAAATCCATCGCCACTGAATACAATATCAACACACCTCCCCCTGTAAGGATTTATAAATGCAGGCCCCTGATTAGCCAAATTCGACAAAGTCCCCTCCTTTGCTAAGGACGGCAATGGGGATCCGACTATGAATTAGCAGCCCTTGCGGTCTCTCCCGAGTCGAAGGGTATCAACAGGAGGGGGATATTAATTAGGACCAGCCGGTGTGCCTGACGGCCTCGAACGGTGAAGGAACCCCACCTGGATCCAGGATTTTGAACTTCCGATAAGGATTCACTACTTTTGTCGGGGATTTTGGTTTAGGCTGTAGAGACTTTGGGGGTTTGGGGAGATGTCTACCCAAAGGCCCCTGAGTAGTTCCTTTTTGGGATTCCCTAATAGAGTTCTAAATATATGCCACAAAAAGGAACTACTATGGGGGACCAAAACCCAAAACCCAGCATCCCTGAATGCTGTCATGTATGAGGTCTGCACACCGATCTTCATGGCTATATGATGCAACGAAGTATACTTTACAAGACAACACATTACTACACTAAATGCCCTCATTACTGTACTCTACTCTACTATAGGATAGAACAAGACAAGAAGCCGCTTGTGAGGGACCGTGCTGTGGTCTGTCCATGGGTTCAGATTCTGAGGTTTGGGCTTGGTTCTTGGGTTTGGGGTTTACCTATAGTCTCCATTGTAGTTCCTTTTTGGGGATACCTTATAAAATCCTTAATATATAATTGGTTAAACCAAAAAAAGGAACTACAATGGAGACTACCTAGACCCCCCAACTACCCCCTAATATGCCCTAAATACCCACAATTAAGGACCATAAGGGCTCTATTAAAGGGCCCTTGGGGGGTCCTGGTATATAGGTACATGGTTTGAGGAAGGTAGGAGATTGCAGGTTTCGGGAAATCTCGCGTTAGAGCTATGGACTTGGAGGGCTTCGGAGCTTTGGAGAGCCCTCAGCCTCGGTTTAGGGTCTAGGGTTTAGGGTTTAGGGTTTAGGGTTTAGGGTGGCACAACAACCAAAGACAAATTCAGTGCGCAGGCTTGTCGAGCCCCTGCGGAGCCACAGCGGTCGAGACAAAATGGTCCAGGGTTGACACAGATTGTCGACTGAGAGCGGAGAAAGCAAGAATAGCACAGTAGAAAAGAAGTCTGCGGCATTGGCTAGGTCTGCGCAGTCGTGTCGACCATATGCTTGGATCGCAGTATGTCAACCCACATGCTGTCATCCGGAATTGCGGTGCCACACAGTGCTTTTGCAATTATACGGCGTCTGGCAGATTAGTGTCAGAACCTATAGCACGACTCGAGACCTCGAAATCCCCTAAACCCTAAACCCTAAACCCTAAACCCCTAAACCTCTCAACCCTAAACCCTAAACCTCTAAACTCCTAA